TATCTATCTATCTATCTATCTATCTATCTATCTAATTAGGTTAAAGACAAGGAAATCAGAGGCACCAAGTTTGTTGTTCCTGGACTTAAAGAGCTTGGACTCTACAGATTTAGAGTGAGAGCTGTAAATTCTGCAGGTGTGGGAGAACCTGGCGAGGTTGCTGAAGTGATTGAAGTCAAGGATAGGACAAGTAAGCATTAATTTTAGATTTCTCTTTTTTTTCTTAACACATTCATTTATTTTACTTTATATTTAATTTGCCATATATTTTAGTTCCCCCTGAGGTAGACCTGGATGCAACTGTCAAGGAAAAGATTGTTGTTCACGCTGGTGGGGTAATCCGCATCCTGGCCTATGTGTCAGGAAAGCCTGCTCCAGAAATTATTTGGAATAGAGACGATGGTGATTTGCCAAAGGAGGCTGCTATTGAGATCACTTCTATAAGTTCAGCTTTGGTTATCAAAAGTTGCAGGAGACAACACCAAGGCATTTATACATTGACTGCCAAAAATGCAGGTGGAGAGAGGAAGAAAGCAGTCATTGTTGAAGTGCTGGGTGAGTGTTTTTTTTTGGTTTTTTTTGGCATCTGAATTCTGAAATGATTTCAATAAACTTGTTTTATTTCTTCACAGATGTCCCTGGCCCTGTGGGTCTGCCCTTCTCTGGTGAGAATCTCACCAATGACTCTTGTAAGTTGGCATGGTACTCTCCTGAAGATGACGGTGGCTCAGCTATCACCAACTATATAATTGAGAAAAGAGAAGCTGACCGCAGAGGCTGGACTTCAGTGACATATACTGTCACAAGACACAATGCTGTTGTCCAGGGTCTTATTGATGGCAAGGGTTACTTCTTCAGAATTGCGGCTGAAAATATTATTGGGCTGGGTCCGTTCACTGAGACCTCAGCTCCTGTCGTCATCAAGGATCCACTTTGTAAGTCTTGTTTATTTGTATCAGTATTTTTTTATTTATAAGTGTCATTACTTTTAATTGCTTGTAAAATATCTCACACATTTAAACTTCTTCAGCTATACCTGAGCGCCCAGAGGATCTTGAGGTGACAGCCATCACAAATGATTCAATCAGTGTCACATGGAGACCTCCAAAGTATGATGGAGGTTCAGACATTACAAGCTATGTTCTTGAGGTTCGTCTTATCGGACAGGACAACTTCAGCCGTATTGCCATAGAGGACAAACTTATGGAACGTAAATTCACACACTTGGGTCTTAAGGAAGGTTCTTCTTACGAATTCCGAGTTAGTGCTGTGAATCAAATCGGTCAAGGCAAACCATCATTCAGCACCAAACCAGTTACATGCAAAAAAGAGTTTGGTAAGTAACCAAGTACTTGCACTGAAGTGATTTGTTCTATAATTTTCTTTTTATTGACCATTTTTTATTTATTGTATACTGTACTCTTTACTAGAACCACCAAACCTTGATCTTGAGTTCCGTGACAAGCTTGTTGTTCGTGTTGGGGAAACTTGCACTCTTCAAAGTGGGTACTCAGGAAAACCAGCACCAACTATTAAATGGTTCAAAAATGATGAGGAGCTTCAGGCAAATGAAGAAATTGCTCTCACCAGCACAAAGAATAAATTGTGCTTGACTATTGCAAAGGCAAAACGTGATCACAGTGGAAAATACACTGTTGTTCTGGAGAACTCCATTGGCTCACGCAAGGGCATATGTAATGTTATTGTTGTCGGTATGCTAATCTTTACTTTTGTCAAGCATATTCTTTTCTTATCTTGCTATTATTTTTGCAAACTGAATTGTGAATCATATGTATAATTACTTTTTCAGACCGTCCACAACCTCCAGAGGGTCCTGTTATCTTTGACGAGATCTACAGGAATTATATGCTCATTTCCTGGAAGCCCCCACTGGATGATGGTGGAGCTGCTATTTCTAACTATATTGTTGAAAAGAGAGACACCAACAGGGATCTATGGATGCCTGTTACAGAATCTTGTACAAGGGCATCATGCAGAGTTCCAAAACTGATTGAGGGAAGAGAGTACATCATTAGAATCTGTGCTCAGAATATTCATGGCATTAGTGATCCATTGCTATCTGCTGAGACAAAAGCAAAGGATGTTTTCAGTAAGTAACAGTTTGTGCAATGTAATATAATAGTCGCTAAATAATTTGAACAAGAATCGTTTAATTTATGATCAAGAGTCTTACTCATGTTCTCAAATTTCTATCACTTGCAGAGGTTCCAGATGCTCCACAGGCACCTGTGGTAAAAGAAATCTATAAAGATACAGCGCTGATTTCATGGCTTCAGCCAGCTGATGGTGGAAAACCAATCACAAGCTACATTGTTGAAAAGAAGGAGACCAAGGCCAACATGTGGTCTAGAGCTGGAAAAGACCGCATTTACCCTAACACAGAATTCTGGGTTCCTGAGCTTCTCAAGGGATGTGAATATGAATTCCGTGTCATGGCAGAGAATGTGATTGGTGTTGGTGACCCCAGCCCATCATCAAAGCCCATCTATGCCAAAGATCCTATTGGTATGTGTCTAAGGATGTTTTCAATGAAAAATTGACAGTTTTTGCTGAGTTAAAATATTAACCTCCTATTTACTTAAATTTCTTGTCACAGTGATTCCAAGCCCACCTGTACTTCCAGTAGCAATTGACAAGACAAAAGATTCTGTCACTCTTTCTTGGCAACCACCAAAAGACTGTGGCAGAGGCAAAATTTTTGGCTATCTCATTGAGTATCAGAAAGCTGGTGATGAGGAATGGCTTCAAGTTAATCAAACACCTGACTCTTGCCAGGGCACTACATTCAAGGTTATCAACCTTGAGGATGGTGCACTTTACAGATTCAGAGTGAAGGCAGTGAATGCTGCTGGTGAATCAGATTCTGCATATGTCCCAGAGCCCGTTCGAGCACAAGACAGACTTGGTAATTTTGGATATGCATACTTGGATATGTATGACTTTACTTTGCTAATTATGCTTATTACACTTGTTATTGCATTTAACCAAATAAGTGTGAAAATATTAAATGTTTTATTTTTGTCTATTGTCTGTAGAGCCCCCAGAACTTCAACTGGATTTGGGCATGCCTCGTGAGATCAAAGCAATGGCTGGAACCCATATTAATATTATTGCTGGAATCAAGGGAATACCTTTCCCCAAAGTCACATGGAAGAAAAATGAGGCAGATGTTCCAACAAGAGCAGAGATTGAAACATCTGGAACAGCAACCAAACTAGAGATGCGTTATTGCACCCGCGCAGATTGTGGAGATTACACACTTACTGTTGAAAATCCAGCTGGATCAAAGACAGCCACATGCACCGTGCTTGTTCTTGGTATATATTTCAAAGACTATGTTAAATTAAAAATTTTACAATTTTAAATCATTTATAAGTAGCAGAACATACAAATAAATTTAAATACTTTCAAATACTGTTCTTATTAGGCAACATGTTAAGTTGTTGTTTTACTTGTTTGTTTTCATAGACAAGCCTGGACCAGTTCAGCATCTCAGAGCATCTGATGTCAGATGTGATTCTGCCCAGCTATCTTGGAAAGACCCAGAAGATAATGGTGGTACACGCATCACTAACTTTGTTGTTGAGAAAAAGGATGCAGCATCTGCACAATGGGTGCCAATCTGCTCATCTTCCAAAAAACGTAGCATGTTGGCCAAATATTTGATTGAGGGAACGTCATACATGTTCCGTGTGGCGGCTGAAAATCAGTTTGGAAGAAGTGAATATGTTGAAACACCAAAAGCTATTAAAGCAATGAATCCACTGTGTAAGTATGGCCTGTGAAATTACTCCACTTTTAGGCCTATATAATGTTTATTTTCAAAGCAATAACTAAAAAGTATAATATATAAAAATAAAGCAAAAAAAAAAACTAAACACTTGTTACTGCAATTTCAGTCCCACCTGGTCCACCTAAAGACCTGCATCATGTAGATGCTGACAAAACTGAGGTGTGGCTCCAGTGGAATTGGCCTGATCGTACAGGAGGAAGTGACATCACAGGGTTCTTGGTTGAGTACCAAGAAGAAGGTGAAAGGGATTGGGTAGTTTTTAAGACTGTCAGCATTCCTGAGTGCCATGTGACTGGACTGGAAGAAGGAAAGACCTACAGGTTCCGTGTTAAGACAGAGAATGCAGTTGGTTTAAGTAGACCAGACACCACTGTGCCAGTACTTTGCCAGGAAAAACTAGGTTAGATTAAAATTTGAACATTCTCTATGATTACTTCAAGAAATGTTTTCAATTTGTATTATTCAACTTTTTTCTTCTACTGCCTTTGTAGTGCCGCCAATTGTTGAGGTGGATGTGAAGTTGATAGAGGGAATCATTGTGAAAGCTGGAAGCACTATAAGATTGCCTGCCATAATGAGAGGCCTTCCGGTTCCCACTGCCAAATGGGTCATTGATGGAGAGGAAATAAAGAGTGAAGGCAATATCAAAATTGACACTGACAACTTCTCCTATGTTTTCAATTTGTATTATTCAACTTTTTTCTTCTACTACCTTTGTAGTGCCGCCAATTGTTGAGGTGGATGTGAAGTTGATAGAGGGAATCATTGTGAAAGCTGGAAGCACTATAAGATTGCCTGCCATAATGAGAGGCCTTCCGGTTCCCACTGCCAAATGGGTCATTGATGGAGAGGAAATAAAGAGTGAAGGCAATATCAAAATTGACACTGACAACTTCTCCACTGTTCTGAGCATTGCTGACTGCACAAGACATCACACTGGAATCTATATTCTCACAGTGTCTAACTCAGCAGGAAGTAAGACTGTTTCTCTGAATGTCACAGTGCTTGATGTGCCAGCTGCCCCAATAGGTCCTGTAAATATCCTTGAAGTGACTCCTGACTCCATGGTCATTGAATGGCGTCCTCCCAAAGATGATGGTGGAAGTCCTGTCATGAACTATATTGTTGAGAAGAGGGAATCGAATAAGGAGACTTGGGGAGGAGTAAGTTCTGGCAGCACTTCCACAACACTCAAAATTTCTCGTCTGCAGCAAGGAGTTGAGTATGTTGTGAGAATTCGTGCTGAAAATAAAATGGGAATTGGCGCAGCTCTTGAAAGTGCTCCAACTGTAGCCCGGCACCAGTTTGAGGCCCCTGGCCATCCTGGAAAACCAGTTGCATCTGATATTTCTGAAGATGCCCTCACACTTGGATGGACAATGCCTCTGTTTGATGGTGGTAGTCCGATCAGTGGTTATATTATTGAACGAAGACATAAAGGAGGAAAATGGATTAGAGTGAATAAAACACCTTGCAAGGACCTTAGATATAGAGTACTTGGGCTTTTTGAAGATAATGAATATGAATTCAGAGTATTTGCTGAAAATATTGCTGGCTTTAGTGGACCTTCACCTATCTCAGATCCTGCCAAACCTTGCAGACCAATTACTGTTCCAGGACCTCCAGTGAACCCTAAGGTAAAGGACTACAGTTGCACATATGCTGACTTAGTCTGGATCAGACCCACAAGAGATGGAGGCAGTCCAGTCTTAGGATATATTGTTGAATACCAGAAGGCAGGTGCTGATTGGGAGAAAGTAAATATGGATGATCTAATTAAACAGTGTGCTTATAGGGTTAAGGGACTGACAGAGGGCACAGAATACAGGTTCCGTGTTAAAGCCGTCAACATGATTGGAGAAGGTGAGACCAGGGAAATCCCAGAGTCAGTTATTGCTAAGGATATTGTCATTCCTCCGGAAATTGAGGTGGATGCCACATGCCGTGACCGTTTGACTGTTCGTGTTGGGCATAACATTAATGTCGTAGCATATGTAAAAGCACGACCTGAACCAGAAATCACTTGGAGCAAAGGTGAAAGTGTTTTTGAAAAGGACAAGCGCACCACTCTGACAAACAACTTACCAGTAGTGCAAATGCGTATCAAGGAAGCAACCAGAGCAGATCATGGAAAGTATACACTAAAAGCTGTAAATGAAGCTGGAGAGGCCTCAGCTACTATTACAGTAAATGTTCTGGATAGACCTGGGCACTGCCAAAATCTTAAGTTGACCTATGTAACTAAAAACTCTTGCATGGTGTCCTGGGATGCACCAGAGGATAATGGAGGCACTGAGATAACAAATTACATTGTGGAATGTCGGGAGCCAAGTATACGAGCCTGGTCAATGATCTCATCTGACTGCACAAATCGCATGGTAAAGGCTAAGCTCATGGAAAATCATGAATATTTATTCCGTGTATCTGCCGAGAACAAGTGTGGTCCTGGGCCAGCAACAGAAACCAAAACTCCCATCCTTGCAATTGACCCACTTCAGAAGCCAGGTGAGCCAGAGAACTTCCACGTCAGTGATATTGGTAAAAACTTTGTTTTCCTTAAATGGAGAAAACCAGATTATGATGGTGGCAGTCCTAACCTGGGCTACTATTTGGAGAAAAAAGCAAAGGATGCTGAAGAGTGGGAGAAGGTACATGAAGGAGTCCTGAAAGAGACATTCTTCATGGTAGACAAATGTGTTGAGAACCACACATATCAATTTAGAGTCCAGTCAACAAATGATGGAGGAGAAAGTGCCTGGGTTAGGACATCTGATATTCTTGTCAAAGAAGAAGTTCAGAAACCAGTTCTTGACTTGAAATTTGTTGGTACTGTTGTGGTCAAAGCTGGTGAATCAGTTAGACTTGAAGCTGGACTTAGAGGAAAACCACAGCCTGAGGTTACATGGGTTAAGGAAAAGACTACAGGCGATAACCCAAGGATCAGCATTGACACTGGACATGATTACTCCAAATTCCTCCTTACTAAAACCAAGCGTAGTGATACTGGAAAATATGTGGTCACTGCTACAAACTCAGCAGGATCATTCACAGCATATGCCAATGTTACAGTTTTGGATATACCAGGACCTGTCAGAGATATGAAGGTTTCTGGCATTTCCACAGACAAGTGCAGAGTTGTATGGGATCCTCCAGAGGATGATGGCGGTTGTGAGGTGGACAGCTATATTCTAGAGAAATGTGAGACGAGAAGAATGGTTTGGTCCACTTACTCTGCCTCTATTGTCACCAATTACTGTAATGTAACACGTCTTGTTGAAGGAAATGAGTACATATTCAGGGTAAGAGCAGAAAATAAGATGGGAACTGGACCACCAATGGAGAGCAAGCCTATTACTGCTAAGACACAATACAACAGGCCTGGTCCACCTGATGCACCTGAGGTAACAAAAATTGGTAAAGATGAGATGACTGTGGTATGGGCTCCTCCTGAAAACGATGGTGGAAAGTCTATCACTGGTTACATTCTGGAGAGAAAAGAAAAGCGGGCTGTTCGGTGGGTCCCTGTCACAAAGAGCCCTATCTCGGAGAGGCGTATGAAGGTCACCAATCTGATCCCTAACCACGAATATCAATTCCGTGTCAAAGCAGAAAATGAAGTAGGATTGGGAGAACCAAGCAAACCATCCAGACCCATCACTGCAAAAGATCCAATTGGTGTGTATAGTCTGTATTATATGTTATAATATCTCTATAATCTGTTCATTCAAGTTTGTGTATTTTTTTTCTTATTTTTTCTTATTGATGCATTTATTTGTTTTAAACTAAACTGGCATTGTATGTGCCATTTAGAGCCCCCTGGTCCTCCTGGCAGCCTTAAAGTAGTTGACAGCACAAAGACATCCATTACACTTAGCTGGACGAAGCCTGTGTATGATGGTGGTGCTCCAATTATTGGATATTTGGTTGAAATGAGGGATAAGGTGCAAATGGAAGGTGAACAAGAGAGAGATCCAGAGGAAGGCTGGAAGAAATGTAATACTGCTGGACAGCTTGTCATAACTGAATTTACAATGATTAACTTGGATGAGAGACAGGAATATGAATTCCGGGTGTCTGCTCAAAACCAAGTTGGCATGGGCCGTCCTGCAAACCTCAGGGATGCTGTATCACCAAAGGAGATCCATGGTAAGCATTTGTTTTAAAGTGTTATGATTGCCCTTGAAATTCAGTAAACTTATTCAGTTTTTTTTTCACAACAGAAACTCCAGAGATTGATCTTGATGCTAGTCTAAGAAAAGGCCTTAGCGTAAGAGCAGGATGTCCTATCAGACTTTTTGCAACAATTAGAGGAAGACCAGCACCTAAAGTGACTTGGAAGCGCATGGGTGTTGACAATGTCATTAGGAGGGGCCATGTGGATCAGATTGATACAATGACCTTCCTTGTGATTCCTGAGTGCTCACGTGAAGACTCTGGCAAATATTCTTTGACTCTTTCTAACCCCTCTGGAGAAAAGGCTGTGTTTGTTCGTGTTAAAGTCTTAGGTAAACTTACATTTGTATAAAATGCATTTTAAAATTGAAATAAGCATTGCATTTACCTACTACCAAGTACTGTCAGTAAACCAGTTCCTGAAATTTGTCAACAGATACTCCTGGTCCCGTTGGTGGACTGGAGGCAACTGACATTACCAAGACAACCTGCCAGCTTGCATGGTTGCCTCCAGAAAATGATGGTGGTAGCCCAATCTTAAACTATGTTGTTGAGAAGCGTGAGGTTGATAGGAAGACATGGACAAATTGCACAAGTGACTTGAAGAAAACAAGCTTCAAAGTCACGACTCTGACACCAGGAATAGAATACTACTTCCGGGTCATGGCAGTTAACAAGTATGGCATTGGGTTGCCTCAAGACTCACCAAAATCCTACCTCGCTACAGATCCCATGAGTAAGTCCACCTTAAACGGTATAATTTATATTATATTATATTATATTAGTATTTAAAATTTTGTATTAAAATAATGTGTTTCTTTTTACCTTTCAAAGGTGAGCCTGATCCTCCGAAGAAGATGGATATATTAGAAATTACTAAAAACAGTGCAACTCTAGGGTGGCTGAAGCCACTTAGAGATGGTGGATCTAAGATTAATGGCTACATTGTTGAATACCAGCAGGATGGTCAACCTGAGGACAAGTGGACATTATACGCTGTTGTGAAAGACTTGACAATTGTTGTAGCTGGACTGAAAGAAAACACTAAGTACAGATTCAGGGTTGCAGCCAGAAACGCAATAGGATGCAGTTTGGCAAGAGAAGCTGAGGGCATATTTGAGGTCAAAGAACAGCTGAGTATGTATACAAAGATGTTGTGCTCTCCCATTATTAATGTATTTTTATTCATGCTGTATTTTGTATGAATCACACTCTGAATCTTTTACCTCTTTCATAGTGGCACCAAAGATCATCATGTCTGATGTGGTTACAGCAAGAGCAGGATCTAAACTTATAGTTGAGGCTCTTGTGTCTGGGAAGCCTGCTCCAGTCACAAAATGGAAAAGGGGAAATGATGACATAGTTACATCTGATCGTCTCTTCATACAAAAAACCCCAACCACAAATTCACTTTTGATCAAAGATGTCACAAGGAAGGATAGTGGTTATTACAGTCTGTCTGCTGAAAACAGCACTGCAAAGGTCAACCAGATCCTCCGAATAATTATTATGGGTGAGTTTGTATTATTATTATTGTTGTTGTCGTTGTCGTTGTCGTTGTTATTGTTATTGTTATTATATTTTTACTTATAATGGTTTGTTTGTTTTTAGACATCCCTGGTCCTCCACAGGGTCCTCTACAAGTTCTTGAGTTTGACATGGATTCCTGCACACTTGCATGGGATTCACCTGCTGAAGATGGTGGCAGCAACATCACAAACTACATTGTTGAGAAGTGTGATGTGAGCAGAGGTGACTGGGTCACAGTGGCATCTTGCACCAAGACCAGCTGCAGAATTGGAAAGCTCACACCTGGCAAAGAGTATGGCTTCCGTGTCCGTGCTGAAAACCGTTTTGGCATTTCAGAACCAATTTACTCTGAGAAAATGATTGCTAGACATCCATTTGGTAAGTCTCATATATCAACACATTTGAACACTGACACACAAAGAGATTAGGCTTTATTTACTCTAATACATATATTCCAATTTCAGATCCACCCAGTGAGCCAAGGAACTGTTGTGTCAACAAAATCAACAAGGAATCTGTTGTGTTGTCATGGGAGAGACCAGTGAACGATGGTGGCAGTCCCATCACTGGATATTGCATTGAGCGCAAAGAAAGAAATAGCCTCCTGTGGGTCAAGGCAAATGAGGTCCTTGTTCGCTCAACTGAATATACATGCTCTGGCCTCATTGATGGTCTGGAATACACATTCAGAGTATCTGCTGTCAACAAGGCGGGACAAGGCAAACCAAGCAAGCAGACAGATTTTATCACTGCAAGAAGTCCAGTTGGTATGTGTTGGAGGGAATCCTGCTGCTCTCCCTTATAAAAATTGAAATCAAAACACTACAAGTTTGATTTATATTCTTTTTCAGATCCACCTGGAAAACCCCAAGTTCTTGATGTGACTAGAAATTCTGTCTCTCTTGTCTGGAGCCGTCCAAAACATGATGGTGGAAGTAAACTCATTGGTTATGATGTTGAATCTCTGAAGCTTCCAGGTGACAAATGGGTGCGAGTTAACACAAGCAGTCAAAATATACCAAAGGAAGAGTACATTGTTCCTGGACTTGAGGAGGGAGTCCAATACAAGTTCAGAATAATTGCAAAAACAGCAATTAATGTCAGTCTGCCCTCAGAGGAGTCTGATGCTATCCCAATTATTGCAGAGCATGGTAAGTCTTATGACCTACCAATAATGTAATTATTTACTAACTGATGAACTTTATATAGTTAATTTGATGTCTCTCTTTGTATTATTTCAGTTCCACCTAGAGTTGAGATTAGTCTTGAAATGAAGAACTTAATTGTTGTCAAAGCCGGAGCAAATGTCTGCCTGGAGGCTGAAGTTTTTGGCAAACCATTGCCAAAGGTCACTTGGAAGAAAGATGGTGTTCCTTTGAAATTGGCTGAAGGTATGAAAATGACTCAGAAGGTTCATCGCTTCTGCATGGAACTGTTCTCTGTGACAAGAAAGGAATCTGGAGAGTACACCATTACTGCTGAGAACCCAAGTGGCACAAAGTCCGGCAACATTAAATTGAAGGTTCTAGGTAAGTTAACATTAAAAATATGCCAAAAAGTACTGACCATGTATTACCCTTCAGACATTTAAGAAAGTGTATTTGTTTTGTGAGACATGCTTAATTTTGTTTCTGCAGACAAACCTGGACCCCCAGCATCAGTGAAGATAAGCCATGTGTTTGCCGACCGGGTGAAACTGAGGTGGGAGCCACCTCTTGCCGATGGTGGTTCTGAAATCACAAATTACATTGTTGACAAACGAGAAACAAGCAGAGCTAACTGGGCACAAGTTTCTGCTAACATCAATGGTCAGATAACAGACTGTTCTGTGGAGAAACTGATTGAAGGCCATGAATATGAGTTCCGCATCAGTGCTGAGAACAAGTATGGTGTTGGAGACCCAATTGTGACTAACTCTGTGATTGCCAAGAATCCATTTGGTAACATTTTATTCTTTCTCATGCATTTATATATTATAGAGATTGACCGATAAGTAATCAGTACATATAATCTAATGTTAAAAGTTTCACACAGGTAGATTTTTTTGTTAATTTGTTTGGAAAGACCACTGTTTCCTGTGAGATGAACAATAATGGTTTTGTGTGTGTATGTGTGTGTGCTATTGTTTAATGACCCACCAGATGTCACTATTTATTGCTATACCTAGTAGAAAAACCTAAATATCATTTAAAAATGTCAGTCCATTTATCGTTTGATGTCTATTCATGTATATACATATTGTTTTGAAATTGCATATTCCTTAAACAAATTAATTTGATTAAAAAAAACTTTTCAAAATTTAGATGTCCCAGGACCATGTGAACCTCCAGTTATTACCAATATCACCAGGGATCACATGACTGTTAGTTGGAAGGCCCCTGCTGATGATGGCAAGGCCACCATTCTTGGATATATGGTTGAGAAACGTGAAACTCAAGACCTCAATTGGGCTAAAGTGAATAGAAGACCAGTTATTGACAGGACAATTAAAGCTGGAGGCCTCACAGAGGGATCGGAGTATGAATTCAGAGTCATTGCACTCAATAAAGCTGGTCTTGGCAAACCAAGTGATCCATCAGCTGGTGTTCTTGCAGTAGACCCAGTGTGTAAGTACTAACAATACTGTATTTAATGTCCATTAACAATTAAACTTGGCCAAAAGAAAAGAAAAGAAAGAAAGAAAAGTTTGTGCATTTAGACCCTGCATTTCTGTGTTTTATTTATAGATCCTCCTGGACCACCTGCTTTTCCAAAGGTTGTTGACTCTACACACAGTTCAATCAGTTTGTCCTGGACCAAACCCGCCTATGATGGTGGATGTGAAATTCTGGGCTATCTTGTTGAGTTCAAAAGAGCAGATGCAGAAGACTGGCTGAAGTGCAATGTGCCAAAGAATCTCCAGGCAACAAAATTTAATGTTACTGGTCTTATGGATAACACTGAGTACCAGTTCCGTGTTACTGCTGTAAACAAGATTGGATTTGGTGAGCCAAGTGAAGTTCCTGGAAAACATATGGCAAAGGATATCCTAAGTAAGTATATCAGAATTTTTATTTCAAGTATCTGTAGATTACTGTACATTATACTCATTGTAATTTTCTCTTAGTTGCCCCTGAGGCTGAACTTGATGCAGATCTCAGAAAAGTACTAGTTTTACGTGCTGGAGTCACAATGAGAATTTATGTACCTCTGAGAGGGCGTCCTGCTCCAAAGGCAACATGGACTAAGGTCAATGCAAACTTGAAAGAAAGACAAGGTTTTATGATCAAGACAACTGAATGGGATACCTTCCTTTATTGTGAGGATATCAACAGATATGATGCTGGCAAATATGTCCTAACTCTAGAAAACAGTAGTGGTACCAAGTCATATACCATTGTTGTCAAAGTACTAGGTAAGATTTTTTTCTTTCTCTTAACAAATTGCCATTTGAGGTGTATTATTTACTGTAACTAACTGCAGTCTGTAAATGTACACAGACACACCTGGACCCCCAGTCAATCTGATTGTTAAGGAGACCTCGAAGGACCATGCATCTATTACTTGGGATGCTCCATTAATTGATGGTGGTAGTCCCGTTAAGAGCTATGTTGTTGAAAAACGTCTGGCTGAGAGAAAGGCTTGGACCTCTGTTGCTCCTGAATGTCCCAAGACATCTTTCAGGATTACTAATCTCGAAGCTGGTAAAGCTTACTGCTTCAGAGTTTCAGCTGAAAATACATATGGTATCGGTGAGGGTTGTGAAACAGCTGGACCAGTCAAAGCCTCAGGTGAGACTTATTTGATAATGTTGCAGTTTAGTTTACATTTTTAATGTTAATATGTTGATTATGCTAAATTCTAATATTGATGTCAATTGCAGAGCAACCTGGACCAGTTACAGATTTTAAACCTTCAGAGATCAACAAGAATTCTTGCACTCTTGGCTGGAAGAAACCAATCAGTGATGGTGGAAGCCATATTGTTGCATATGTTCTCGAGATCTGTGAAGGGGAAGACAAATGGAAGCTGCTAATGAAGTCTAAGCTCACCCAGTACACAATGACTGATCTTGAAGAAGGAAAGGAGTACTTCTTTAGAGTCAAAGCCATTAATGAAGCAGCTGAAGGACCATCATCTGAGCTCACTGTCTTGGCTAAAGATCAAATAGGTATTCATATAGTATACCTCAGGGTTTTTTAACATCAAAGACAGTGAGACCTAATGCACAGATCCAATATATTGATACACATCCAATTTTCTCCCAACTCTTTACATTAACTATTATATAACCAACTGTGTTTATGTGAATGGTCAGACATTTTGACACAACAATTTGTGTATTTGACTGTTCAAGCACAATGGGTCATGCACTGAAATGGATGCCCACATGCAGATGCCTAATTCAGTTCTCTTATGATATTGTGCTTTTAATAACTGATTTAATTTAATGACTGCATGTCCCACACTTTGAAACCCCCTGGTCTACCTAGTAATTGCATTTGTTTCTTAGTGGTTATGCAACGATGTCCATTAACATATTTGTGTTTTTCTTGTCTTTTTACAGTCCTTCCAGACTTTAATCTTAAAGGTTTGCCAGACTCTACCTATGTGGCAAAGGAAGGAAGCACTGTTCGCCTTAATATCCCTATTTTTGGTATCCCAGCTCCTGCAGTCACATGGAAAAAGGGTGATGTTACTTTATCAGACAGTGGCAGGATCTCAGGTGAATCAACGGCAACAAACACGGTCTTGTTGGTTCGTGATTGCAATAGAGGTGATGCTGGCAATTTCACTGTTATTTTGAGAAACAGTGCTGGAACAAAGGAATCAGCTATTGACATTAAAGTTGTTGGAAAGCCTGGAATCTGCACCGGTCCCATCAAATTTGATGAAATCACAGCTGAAGCGATTACTGTAGAATGGGGTCCACCCAAAGATGATGGTGGATCAGAAGTTACCAACTATATTTTGGAGAAGAGGCATTCTACTGCCAACAAGTGGGTCACAGTTGCTTCTGCAATTCAAAAGAACTCTATGAGAGTTACAAGACTTCATGACGGAACAGAATACATTTTCAGAGTTTGTGCTGAAAATAAATATGGATTTGGAGAGTTCCTCAAATCTGATCCAGTGGTTGCTAAACATCCATTCAGTGAGTATTTAAAGAAATCCCAAATACATATTTTTATTTTATGAAATATGATATTTAAAAACATTTATTCACAACAAATACACACTTTTCCCCACACCAGATGCACCAGGGGCTCCAGCACCACCTGAGGTTGTGAGCATTCGTCATGAGTCTGCTATCCTAACATGGTCTGATCCAAAAGATAGTGGAGGCTCACCCATCACAGGTAAAATATTTCTTAACAACATTAATTTTTTTATTTTTTTTATTTATATGTTTATTTGCAGTTTGTAACAACTAAACCTTTTTACTACTAATATTGCTTATAGGATATTACGTGGAATTCAAAGATAGAAATAGCCTGATGTGGAAGAGAGCCAACAAGAGCACTTTTCCCCACACCAGATGCACCAGGGGCTCCAGCACCACCTGAGGTTGTGAGCATTCGTCATGAGTCTGCTATCCTAACATGGTCTGATCCAAAAGATAGTGGAGGCTCACCCATCACAGGTAAAATATTTCTTAACAACATTAATTTTTTTTTTTTTTTAATTTATATGTTTATTTGCAGTTTGTAACAACTAAACCTTTTTACTACTAAAATTGCTTATAGGATATTACGTGGAATTCAAAGATAGAAATAGCCTGATGTGGAAGAGAGCCAACAAGACACCTTTGAGAGTGAAAGAATGCAGAGTAACCAGTTTGGTTGAAGGACTGGAATATGAATTTAGGGTCATAGCTATGAATGTGGCTGGACTTGGAAAGCCAAGCAAAACAACTGAATCACTTGTTGCTCTTGATCCAATTGGTGAGTCAAAGTGTGCTTTCTTTCAGCTTTTTAAGATGTGCCGTTCATCAGGAAGAGATTGCAAAAATATTTTTTGTATATATTATTATCTCTTTCTATAGATCCACCTGGTAAACCTGATGTGATCAGTGTCACAAGAAACAGTGTAACACTAATTTGGGCTGCAGCCAAGTATGATGGTGGCCACAGACTGACTGGCTATATTGTCGAGAAATTAGAGCATCCTGGAAAGACCTGGATGAAGGCCAACCATGTGAATGTCCAAAGCTGTGCATACACTGTTACAGACCTACAGGAAGGCTGTACTTATGAATTCAGAATAAGGGCTAAAAATGCAGCTGGAGCTATCAGTGCTCCCTCAGAGACAACTGAGCCTCTTGTCTGCAAAGATGAATATGGTAAGCTGTATTGACAAAGTTTTAACAACTTTGCTTAACCAAACCCTCAGTAACCATAACAATGTTTATAATCATCACCTGACTTTCTACAGAACCACCAACTATCACAATTGACCCTGAAATGAAGGATGGAGTGACTGTGAGGGCTGGAGAAACAATTGTCGTAACAGCATCAAGCATTCTTGGGAAACCACCTCCTACAACGGTGTGGTCTAAGGGTGGAAGAGAATTCAAGACCTCAGATATTGTCCAAATTACAAGCACTCCCACATCTTCAACACTGTCAATCAAGTATGCCAGCCGAAAGAACACTGGGGAGTACACTATTACTGCAAGTAATCCATTTGGTATTAAAGAAGAAAAAGTCAAAGTGAAAATCCTGGATGTGCCTGGACCTCCAGGTCCTATTGAAGCCAGCAATGTCTCTGCTGAAAAATGCACTTTGACATGGTTGCCACCAGAAGAAGATGGTGGCTGCACTATCAAATCATATACATTAGAAAAGAGAGAAACCAGCCGCCTTCTCTGGACAAAGCTTGCTGAAGATGTTATGGATTGCCGCTATGTTGCCAGCAAGCTGATAAAGGGAAATGAATACATATTCCGTGTTTCAGCAGTCAATCAGTATGGTATTGGTGATGCAACACAGTCTGGACCAGTTAAAATGGTTGATAGTTTTGGTAAGCTTAACTTCATATTTTACAACATAATCTTTTTTTTTTTCATCTCTGACACACAGACACACTCACATAAATATATATAAATAAATAAAGATTTTTTTCTTTAACTTCTTAACTCCTTTTTGCAGGACCTCCTGGGCCACCATCAAAACCAGAAATTGATAATGTCAGTAAAAATGCTGTAACAATTTCCTGGAAGAGACCAATTGTAGATGGAGGAAGTGACATTAGAGGCTATAGTGTTGAGAGAAAAGAGAGAAGAGGAATGAGATGGGTCAGAGCTTCAAAAAAGACCATTTCTGATCTACGTTATAAGGTCTCAGGCCTGTCAGAGGGAACTGAATATGAATTCCGTGTAACTGCAGAGAATAAGGCTGGTTTTGGCGAGCCCAGTGAGCCATCACAGCCTGTAATGACAAAGGATATTTCATGTAAGTTGACCAAAAAATATTTTTAAATTCCAGATATTGTTTTCTTGTCAATCTTTGTCCCAAAGAACTTTTTATCATTATCATTTTATTCTTTTTCAGATCCACCAGGACCTCCATCCAACCCACGGATTACTGACACCACCAAAACTACAGCAACATTTAACTGGGGTAGACCCTTCTATGATGGTGGACTTGATGTTACAGGATACATTGTTGAACATAAAAAGGAAGGTGATGATGACTGGGTTCAAGACACAACTACTCCATTGAGAATAACAGAATTTGTAGTTTCAAATCTACAATCAGGAGGAAAATATCACTTCAGAGTCAGAGCACTGAATTCAGAAGGACTTGGTGAACCCTCTGAAGTTGAGCAAGTTGTTGAACTGGTGGATCGAGAGGAGGTTCCTGAATTTGAACTTGATGCAGAGTTGAGAAAAACACTTGTTGTTAAGTCAGGTGCTTCAATCCGCATATTTGTGCCAATAAAGGGCAGGCCAGCCCCAGAAGTAACATGGCATAAGGAAGATGTACCGCTTAAAGGCCGTGCTCACATTGACACTACTGAATCATACACTCTAGTAGTCATCCCTGAGTGTACAAGATATGATGCAGGGAAATATGTCCTAACATTGGAAAATGTTGCTGGAAAGAAGTCTGGATTTGTCAATGTTCGTGTTGTGGACACCCCAGGACCTCCAGTGAATTTGAAACCAAGTGAAATCACAAAACATAGTATTACTTTACAATGGGAGATTCCAATCATTGATGGTGGTTCAAAGATTACAAATTATATCATTGAGAAGCGGGATGCAACACGAAAGGCTTACTCAACCATTACAGCAAACTGGCAGAAATGCTCGTACAAGATTCCAGACTTGGAAGAGGGTGCTGAATATTACTTTAGAGTTTCTGCTGAGAATGAAAGGGGCATCGGTGAACCAGCAGAGACACCTGAACCAATTAAAGCTTCTCAGGCTCCTTCTGCACCAGATAATCTGATTGTTTCAGATGTTTCCAAGGACACAGCAACTCTTGCATGGACTAAACCAAAACATGATGGTGGTAGTCGAATCACTGGCTATGTGATAGAGGCTCAACTGAAAGATTCTGATCAGTGGACACATGTGACAACAATAAAAGCTTTAGATTACACTGCAACAGAATTGGTGGAAAATGCAGAATATGTGTTCCGCATCTTTGCTGTAAACAGCTCGGGTAGGAGTGAACCTCGTGAAAGTCGACCAGCTGTAATCAAGGAGCAAACCACTGCTCCAGGATTTGACCTCAGAGGTATATATCAGAAGATGGTGGTAGCTAAAGCAGGTGATAATCTTAAAGTTGAGATCCCTGTTCTGGGACGTCCAAAACCACTTGTTGTATGGAAGAAAGAAGATCAGGAACTTAAACAGACACAGAGAATAAACGTTGAAAATACTGCAACTTCTACAATTCTCAACATTAATGAAATTAAGAGAAAAGACGGAGGACAGTATTCAATGACAGGAAAGAACATCTTTGGAACTGTGACTGAAATCATTACTGTTCAAGTACATGATATTCCAGGACCTCCAACTGGACCAATAAAACTGGATGAGGTTTCTTGTGACTATGTGATAATATCATGGGAAGCTCCAGAAAATGATGGAGGAGTTCCTATTAATAACTACATTGTTGAAATGCGTGAGACAACTGGCACATCCTGGGTAGAACTGGCAGCAACTGTTATCCGCACAACATTTAAAGCAGCACGCCTTACAACTGGTATTGGATATCAATTCCGTGTAAAAGCTCAGAACAGATATGGTGTTGGACCCTACATAACATCAGAACCAGTGGTGGCTGCGTATCCATTTGATGTTCCAGGACAGCCTGGAATTCCACAAATAGTTGCCTTCACCAAGGATTCAATGACAATCAGCTGGAATGAACCTTCTTCAGATGGAGGTAGCCCAATTTTAGGATACCACATTGAGAGGAAAGAGAAGAACAGCATACTCTGGCAGAGGATCAGCAAAGCTCTAGTTGTTGGCAATATGTTTAAATCACCAGGTCTGATTGATGGTATTGCATATGAATTCCGTGTTATTGCAGAAAATCTGGCTGGTCTCAGCAAAGCAAGCAAGCCATCTGAGATGACATATGCACTTGATCCTGTAGACCCCCCAGGTCAACCAGTGGCACTTAACATAACTAGACATGAAGTTACTCTTCAGTGGTCAAAGCCAGAGGGCGATGGTGGTTTCTCAATAACTGGATATACAGTTGAAAAAAGAGAGCTGCCTAATGGTCGCTGGCTCAAAGCCAACTTCAGCAACATTCTTGAAACAAACTTTACTGTTAGTGGTCTCACAGAAGATGCTTCTTATGAATTCCGTGTATTAGCAAGAAACTCAGCTGGGGCTGTCAGCAAACCATCTAAACCTTCAGAGGTCATTGTCTGCAGAGATGACATTGAAGAGCCAAAAATTGATGCTGATGCAAGTTTCAGTAGTGCTGTGGTAGTGAAAGCAGGAGATGTCTTCAAGCTAGATGCACGTGTTACAGGTCGCCCAATTCCATCCTTGGTTTGGACTAAAGATGGCAAGGAGCTTGAGGACACTGGAAAACTAGAGATCAAAACATCAGATTTCTATACTTGTTTGATTAACAAAGATTCTTTACGTAGAGATGGCGGTGTATACGCTCTAACTGCTAGCAATCCGGGAGGATTTGCCAAATTTGTCTTCAACGTTAAAGTTCTTGACAGACCTGGCCCACCTGAAGGACCACTGCATGTCACAGACATGACAACAGAGAAATGTATTCTGTCATGGCTGCCACCACTTCATGATGGAGGAGGAAAGATTGAATATTACATCATTCAGAGACGTGAAACAAGTAGACTTACATGGACAAATGTAGCCACGGATTTACAAGTAAACCGCTATAAGGTTACCAAATTGCTGAAAGGAAATGAATATATTTTCAGAGTCATGGCTGTGAACAAGTATGGAGTTGGAGAACCTCTTGAATCTGAGCCTGCTGTTGCCACTAACCCATATGTGCCTTCTGATCCTCCACAGGCACCAGAAGTAACTGCTATCACAAAACATTCAATGGTGGTGTGTTGGGGACATCCTGAACACAATGGTGGAAGTAGTATAAATACCTACATCATTGAGAGGAGAGATAAAACTGGTCTTCGTTGGGTAAAATGCAATAAAAGAACTGTTACTGATCTGCGCTTCAAAGTGTCAGGACTAACACCTGGACATGAGTATGAATACAGAATCCTAGCCGAAAATGCTGCTGGCTTAAGTGCACCAAGCCCTTCAAGTCCATTCTACAAAGCATGTGACACAATATTTCAACCTGGACCCCCTGGAAATCCTAGGGTTTTGGATACAAGTAAGTCATCCATTACTATTGCTTGGAATAAACCAGTTTATGATGGTGGCTCAGATATCACAGGCTATATTGTTGAAACATGCCTGCCAGAGGAAGATGAATGGACAATTGTCACTCCAAAGGCTGGGCTAACAGCAACATCATTCACCATAACCAACCTTATTGAAAACCAAGAATATAAGATCAATATTTCAGCTCTTAACTGTGAAGGTGTTGGAGAGCCAGCCTCTGTACCTGGTTCACCAAAAGCAGAAGACAGACTCCTTCTACCCGAAATCGAGCTTGACTCAGACCTTCGCAAAGTAGTGAACATCAGAGCATGTAGTAACTTAAGATTATTTGTGCCAATTAAAGGAAGACCTGCACCAGAAGTCAGATGGTCAAGGGAGACAGGTGAACCCCTTGATAAAGCATCAATTGAAATTACATCATCTTTCACCACATTGGTTATCGAGAATGTAAACCGATTTGATGGTGGAAAATACATGCTAACAGTGGAAAACAGTTCAGGAACTAAAACGGCGTTTGTTAATGTCCGAGTTCTTGACACTCCTGATGCACCACAGAACCTTACAATCAAAGAAATCACAAAAGATTCTGCTTCCCTCATCTGGGATCCTCCAGTCATTGATGGTGGATCAAGAATCAGGCATTATATTGTTGAAAAACGTGAATCTACACGAAAAGCATATTCCATCGTTAATACCTCCTGTCCCAAAACAAGTTGTAGAATTGGAGACTTACAAGAAGGAAGCATGTATTTCTTCAGAATTTTGGCTGAAAATGAGTATGGTGTTGGTCTTCCAGTAGAGACCACGGAAGCTATAAAAATCTCTGAGAGACCTCTTCCTCCTGGAAAAGTGACTCTAAAAGAAGTAACTGGCAACAGTGTAACACTTTCTTGGGAGAAGCCGGACCATGATGGAGGAAGCAGAATTACGGGTTATATTGTTGAAATGCAAGGGAAAAACAGTGAAAAATGGACGCAAGTAATGACTGTTAAAGTAACAGAGGCAGTTGTTGTTGGCCTAACACAAGGTGAAGAATACTTCTTCCGTATTTCAGCAACTAATGAAAAGGGAACCAGTGATCCACGTCCACTTAGTGTCCCTGTGGTTGCTATGGATGTTGTTATTGCTCCTGCCTTCAAACTTTTGTTCAGCACATTCAGTGTTCTGGCAGGTGATGATCTGAAAATTGACGTGCCTTATGTTGCTCAGCCCAAGGCAGCAGTTACCTGGCAAAAAGATGGTATTGCTCTGAAAGAGACAACAAGAGTAAATGCTGAAATAGCAGAGAGACACCTTTACCTTGTGATAAAAGAGGCAACACGGGATGATGTGGGCAAATATACTATTAAACTGACAAACTTAGCTGGTGAAGCTACAGCAGACATCAGTGTTATTGTACTTGATAAACCTGGACCACCAACTGGCCCAATCAAAATAGAGGAGGTAACTGCAGACTGTGTTACATTGTCATGGCAGCCTCCAGAGTACGAGGGAGGCTGTAGCATTAATAACTATATTGTGGAAAAACGAGATACATCCACCACCAACTGGCAGATTGTATCTGCAACAGTGGCAAGAACAACAACTAAAGCTGCAAGATTGAAGACTGGCTGTGAATATCAATTTAGGATTGCTGCTGAAAATAGATATGGAAAGAGTTCAGTTCTTTTGTCTGAGCCTGTTGTTGCACAATATCCCTTTGAGGTTCCAAATCCACCAGGAACTCCAACTGTTCAATCTGCTACTAAAGAAAGCATGGTTATTGTGTGGAACAAACCCAGTAGTGATGGTGGAAGCAAGATTTTGGGATATCACATTGAGAGTAAGGAAAGAAACAGCTTGTTGTGGGTAAAGCAAAACAAAACACTCATTCCAGACACAAGATTCAAGATAGGTGGCCTTGAAGAAGGCATTGAATATGAATTTAGAGTTTATGCTGAGAATATAGTTGGTCTAAGCAAAGCAAGCAAAGTATCAGAAATCCAGGTGGCTAGAGATCCATGTGACCCTCCAGGCAAACCTGAAGCAGTGATTGTCACCAGAAGCTCTGTAACACTCAGGTGGACACCACCACAGTTTGATGGCGGCAGCAAGATTACAGGATATGTCATTGAGAAAAAAGAATTGCCTAATGGCCGCTGGATGAAAGCTTCTTTTACGAATATCATTGAGACCGAATTTGTTGTCAGTGGTTTGGTAGAGGAGCAGCAGTATGAATTTCGTGTCATTGCAAAAAATGCTGCAGGTGTGTCTAGTGTTCCATCAGACAGTACTGGTGCAATCACAGCCAAGGATGAAGTTGATCCACCCCAAATTGACTTGGATGCCAAATATTCTCAAACTATTGTTGTTAATGCTGGAGAATCATTCAAAGTAGATGCAAGAATACTTGGCAAACCTATTCCTTCAGTTCACTGGATAAAATCTGGCGAAGAACTTACAAATACTGCAAGACTTGAGATAAAGAATACTGACTTCACAACTACTCTTAGTGTGAAGGAGGCTATCCGTGTTGATGGAGGGCAGTATACCTTGCTATTAAAAAATGTTGGTGGAGCGAAATCAGTAGTTGTCAATGTCAAGGTTCTGGACAGACCTGGGCCTCCAGATGGCCCAATTTCAATCTATGGGGTTACCAGTGAAAAGTGCTGCATTGGCTGGAAAACTCCATTGCACGATGGAGGTGCAGAGGTGTCTCATTACATTGTGGAAAGAAGAGAGACCAGCCGCTTAGTTTGGACTGTTGTGGAATCTAAGGTACAAACCCTCAATCTGAAAATTACAAAACTCCTTCCTGGAAATGAGTATATTTTCAGAGTGATACCTGTAAATAAATATGGAATTGGTGAGCCTTTAGAATCTGATCCAGTGATTGCAGCAAATCCATTTGTACCACCTGATGCACCAAGTAATGTTGAAGTGTCAAATATAACAAAGGATTCCATGGTTATCACATGGCAAAGACCCACTAATGATGGCGGCAATGCAATTACAGGATATATTGTTGAAAAGAGAGACAAAGAAGGTGTTAGGTGGGCAAGATGCAACAAACGTGTAGTGAGTGAACTACGCTTTAGAGTAACAGGACTTCTTGAAAACCGAAGTTATGAATTCCGTGTGTCTGCTGAGAATGCAGCTGGAGTTGGTAAACCAAGTCCACCCACAGTGTACTTCAAGGCAGTGGATCAAGTCTTCAAGCCTGGTCCACCAAACAACCCCAAGGTAATTGATGTCTCAAGAGCATCTGTTGTCCTGCATTGGGGAAAGCCAATTTATGATGGTGGCTGTGAAATTCAGAGTTACATTGTTGAGGCATTTGAAGTCACTTCCGATGAATGGATGATGTGTACACCACCCTCTGGAATAACAGAGACAAGATTTGAAGTTAAAAAACTGCTTGAAAAGCATGAGTACAAATTCAGAATCTGTGCCATAAATAAGGTTGGTGTGGGAGAAACTGCTGATATCCCAGGATCCATTATCATAGAGGATAAACTTGAGGCACCAGATATTGATCTTGATGCTGACTTGAGAAAGATGATTACTGTCAGGGCTGGAGGCTCTCTAAGATTGTTTGTTCCTATTCGTGGACGGCCAACTCCTGAAGTCAAGTGGGGAAAGGCTGAAGGGGAAATCAACGAGGCAGCTCAAATTGATATTACAAGCAGTTTCACTTCACTCATAATTGAAAATGTTAATAGATTTGACAGTGGAAAATACACTTTAACTCTGGAAAATGCCAGTGGAACAAAATCGGCATTTATTAGTGTCAGAGTATTAGATAATCCTGATGCGCCTGCAAACTTCCGTGTGAAGGAAATAACAAAGAATTCAGTCACTCTTACCTGGGAGCCACCGTTGCTAGATGGTGGAGCTAAAATTAAAAATTACATTGTTGAAAAACGAGAGAGTACAAGAAAGGTATACTCTGCTGTTGTTACCTGCAACAAGATGACATGGAAAATTGAACCACTCCAAGAGGGAAGCAACTTTTTCTTCAGGGTTCTTGCTGAAAATGAACATGGTATTGGATTGCCGGCAGAGACTCTAGAACCAATAAAAATCTCAGAGGTGCCACAACCCGCTGGTAAAGTTTCTGTAGTGGACGTTACAAGGAAGAGTGTTTCCCTTAAATGGGAAAAACCAGAGCATGATGGAGGCAGCAGGATTACTTATTACGAAGTTGAAATGCAAGCAAAGGATCAAGATAAATGGTCTCTTTGTGCTCAAGTAAAATCCCTTGACACTGTTGTAACTAATTTAGTCCAAGGTGGGGAGTACAATTTCAGAGTCATTGCCGTCAATGACAAAGGAAAGAGTGATCCCAGACTCTTGGCAACTACCTGCAACAAGATGACATGGAAAATTGAACCACTCCAAGAGGGAAGCAACTTTTTCTTCAGGGTTCTTGCTGAAAATGAACATGGAATTGGATTGCCGGCAGAGACTCTAGAACCAATAAAAATCTCAGAGGTGCCACAACCCGCTGGTAAAGTTTCTGTAGTGGACGTTACAAGGAAGAGTGTTTCCCTTAAATGGGAAAAACCAGAGCATGATGGAGGCAGCAGAATTACTTATTACGAAGTTGAAATGCAAGCAAAGGATCAAGATAAATGGTCTCTTTGTGCTCAAGTAAAATCCCTCGACACTGTTGTAACTAATTTAGTCCAAGGTGGGGAGTACAATTTCAGAGTTATTGCCGTCAATGACAAAGGAAAGAGTGATCCCAGACTCTTGGCAAATCCTGTTGTTGCAAAGGACCTTGCTATTCAGCCCACAGTAAGAACAAAACTTAGCACCTACAATGTACAGGTTGGGCAAGATTTGAAAATTGAAGCACGAATTTCTGGTCATCCAAAACCAACTATTACATGGAACAAAGATGGTTCAGCTCTGAAACAGACCACAAGAGTAAATGTTGCTGACACTGCACATCATACCACTCTTACCATCAAAGATGCAACAAGAGAAGATGGTGGTATGTATAACATTGCTGTGGCTAATGTACTTGGACAAGCAGAAGCCACTGTTGAAATAATTATACTTGAAAAGCCTGGCCCACCAACTGGCCCAGTCAGGATTGATGAAGTGAGTGCAGAGAGCATTACATTATCTTGGGACCCACCAACATACACTGGAGGCTGCCAGATTTCAAATTATGTTGTCCAAAAGAGAGACACCACCACCACTAACTGGGTAGTTGTTTCTGCCACAGTAGCAAGAACCACACTTAAAGTTAGTAATTTAAAAACTGGAGCTGAATACCAGTTTAGAATTTTTGCTGAGAATAGGTATGGTAAAAGCTATGGCATTGACTCAGATCCGGTTCTTGCCCAGTATCCTTTCAAGGAGCCTGGGCCTCCAGGAACTCCATTTGTGTCTGCATTCACAAAAGAATCTATGGTTGTTGAATGGCACAAGCCAGTCTCAGATGGTGGAAGTGCTATTCTAGGATATCATCTAGAGAGAAAAGAGAAAAATAGCATTCTTTGGACAAAGATCAATAAAATACTCATTCAAGACACCAGATTTAAAACATCTCCATTGGAAGAGGGCATTGAATATGAATTCAGAGTCTATGCTGAAAACATAGTTGGAATTGGAATGTGCAGCAAAATTTCTGAGGGTTGTGTGGCACGTGACCCATGTGACCCACCAGGCACCCCTGTGCCAGTGATTGTGACAAGACACTCAGTGAAACTTAGATGGACACCACCGGAATATGATGGAGGCAGCCTTGTCACTGGATATGTTGTGGAGAAACGAGACCTGCCAGAGGGTCGTTGGATGAAAGCTAGTTTTGCAAATATTCTTGAAACTGAATTTACAGTCACAGGCCTGATAGAAGACTGCAAATATGATTTCAGAGTTATTGCCAGAAATGGAGCTGGATCAGTTAGTAGACCCTCTATGAGCACAGGCTCAATTACAGCTAAGGATGAAGTTGAACCACCAACCTATGAGGTTGCCTCAGAGTATAGCCAAATTTTGACCGTGAATGCCGGAGACACATTTACCCTGGAAGCATCCATACTAGGAAAGCCTGTTCCAACAATGCAGTGGTTTAAGAGTGATGTGGAAGTTGAAAATTCAGCAAGAGCTGAAATCAAGAACACTGACTTCAAAGCAATTCTTGTTGTCAAAGATGCCATTCGAATTGATGGAGGACAGTACACATTGCACCTCACTAATGTGGCTGGAACAAAGTCTGTTTCCTTCAGTGTAAGAGTCCTTGATAGACCTGGACCCCCTGAAGGTCCTTTTTCTGTCTCTGGTGTAACATGTGAGAAGTGCTCATTGTCATGGCTGCCTCCAAAACATGATGGTGGCAGTAGCATTTCTCATTATATCATACAGAAGAGAGAAACAAGTCGTCTTGCTTGGACTGTAGTTTCAGGTGATTGTGGAGCAACCATGTTTAAAGTTACTAAACTTTTAAAAGGAAATGAATACATATTCCGTGTAATGGCTGTCAACAAGTATGGAGTTGGTGAACCACTTGAATCTGCACCAGTGAATATGAGAAATCCTTTTGTTCCATCTGGGCCACCTAAAGAACTAGAAGTAACAAATATTTCAAGGGATTCTATGACAGTATGCTGGACTCGTCCTGAGACTGATGGTGGAAGTGAAATTGTTGGTTATATTGTAGAGAAGAGAGACAGAGCTGGAGTGCGGTGGACAAAATGTAACAAACGCAGAGTCACAGACTTACGTTTCAGAGTCACAGGCTTGACAGAGGATCATGAATATGAATTTAGGTTATCTGCAGAAAATGCTGCTGGAGTTGGACAGCCAAGTCCACCATCTGTTTATTACAAAGCCTGTGATCCAACATTTAAGCCTGGCCCACCAACTAATGCACACCTTGTTGACACTACAAAGAATTCAGTCACAATTGCATGGAGTAGACCAATATATGATGGTGGTTTAGACGTCCAAGGCTATGTTGTTGAGATATGTAAAGCTGATGAAGAAGAATGGACCACATGTACTCCACCCTCTGGATTAAATGATACTACATTTACAATAACTAAACTTACTGAACACCAAGAATACAAAGTCCACATATGTGCTTTTAATAAACTGGGTGTTGGTGAGCCAGTGTCTATCCAAGGAACTGTCAAACCAGTGGATAAGATGGATGCCCCTGAAATTGAGCTTGACTCGGAGTTGAGGAAAGGAATTGTTGTGCATGCTGGAGGGTCTATGAGAATCAACATACCATTCAAAGGACGCCCCATTCCTGAGATAAACTGGACCAAGGATGAGGGAGATTTACCAGATAAAGCCCAAATAGAAAAGGGACCAGATTACACTCAGTTATCAATTGATATATGTGACAGAAATGATGCTGGTAAATATACTCTGACTTTGGAAAATAATGCTGGCACTAAATCAGCCTTTGTGTCAGTAAAAGTACTCGATACACCAGGTGCTCCACAGAACCTTGTTGTGAAAGATGTAACAAGAAACTACACCACCCTCGTTTGGGAACCTCCACTTATAGATGGTGGTTCAAAAATAAAAAATTATATAATTGACAAGAGAGAATCAAATAGACAAGGATTTGTAAACATTACTACCAAGTGCTCCAAGACCAGCTTCCGTGTTGGTGATTTGACAGAAGGTGGTGTTTATTACTTCAGAGTCATGGCAGAAAATGAATTTGGAATTGGTCTCCCTGTAGAAACAGAAGAATCCGTGAAGACAGCAGATCCTCCTTTATCTGTCGGCAAGGTAACTTTGACTGATGTGACAAAAACAACAGCATCACTTTCATGGGATAAACCAGATCATGATGGTGGTAGTAGAATCTTGGGTTATTATATTGAAATGCAGCCAAAAGGATCAGAGGAATGGACAATTGCTACAGTCACCAAAACAGGTGAAGGTACAGTGACAGGACTTAGTTCAGGACAAGAGTACCTCTTCAGAGTTTTAGCTTACAATGAGAAAGGAAAAAGTGATCCAAGGCCATTGACTGCTCCTGTCGTAGCCAAAGATGTTACTATTGAACCAAGCTTCAAACTACTTTTCAACACATACAGCGTTCAAGCT